CTCGTACATGCTTATTTTTTCTCCACTTGTCATGAAAAGCATGTCATTCAATAGCTAAAAGCCTGATCTTTCCGAATATGAAAACCAATTGTTCATACGCCAAGTAATTCACGTATAATAGCGCGCTGAAGTTCGATTACCTTTTTTTTGATACACCCTGTATAGTGAGATATTTTCGCACATAAAATGAATGAGTCGATAATGTGCCGTTGACGCTTTACAAAGTGACATAGTCATATAGAAATGATCATAACTAAAGGTGGATTTCTACATTCTACCATGCACAGAAATATTTCGTCGTCGAAATACTTCGTTTGACGTCTTTTGAATTGTGACCATCCGAATATGTGAGTTCTACCTGACCGCTCACAATTCAAAAGAAATTGAGCGATAAATGTCGACACCAAAATTTTTCTTGCAGGTGAAAATTTAGGAAGAAAAAATAGTAACTATATAATTATTATTAGTAATGGTAAACAGATTCTATTAATTCAAAATAAGGTTTCCTTAAGGCTCGATGAGAATCCCCCCTCTAGCAAATCTGGCTGGATCCATATGTCAATTCAATTCAATTTATTAAACTGTCACAAAAAGGAATTATTTACAAGAGAAACGTACATTAAGGAAACCCAAGTAGAAACCATAAGGCTTATTGAGTTCTGGGCTTCCTCATTTATAATAAGTATTACAATATTGAATTCAGATAGATTTAAATAGTTTAGGCATTTCTGGGTTGGAGACCCAAGTATTAAAAACATATTATAGTCGAGAGAATAAGAAGTGTTTTTCATTTGAATAGGAATTTTTGAAGAGTTGGTGATTACGAATATCGTTACTCGATGTATTAAAAAAACTTGAACCTTGATATAGGACACAGAGAATTGGCGTAACTTTTTTAGACAATGGTACATATAACAATTCAGCTCTACGCAAACCATAGCCATGCTTTATTCGTAACACCAGGATGGTTATTCGTAACACCAGGATGCTTTATTCGTAACACCAGGTTGTCAAAATTAAAGTTTTCGGAAAGCCTACTCAAACCAAACCTTGCTGCAATATTGATAGACACATCACAATCACATTGGCCTGGGCTCAGGGATTGGTTTAAGCCAACGCTCGCAGGGTCTACTTTAATTCTACCCTTACTCTCTCCCCAACAATAGCCAATTCCTATTATAGACTAATTTTGTATCTTGGCAAAAAAGTATATTCCCGGAAAGAGGGTATACTAAAATGAGTAAAATTGCAAAGTTTGGTTGCGAAATATTGTAAAATGCGGAAAATATAGCCTTGCAAAGTTCGTGAATTTTGCATACTTTTGTATTGCGTGCGAAAATCGCTACCACATTTGGGCCGAAAATGGTAGCAATTTATACAATGGTACACAAAAGTATACAAAATTTGCAAACTTTGCAAGGCTATATTTTCCGCATTTTACAACATTTCGCAACCAAATTTTGCAATTGTACTCATTTTAGTATGCTCTTTCTAGCTGTGGCGATTTATTTGCATCTCCTTGCCTAGTTTTAAAGTTAATTTATAATGGGAGTTGTCTATTGTTCAAGGTCGACTGTCTTCTTAGACCTACCTTCTTCCCGCGATGGTGACTTGACGACTGAAGAGCTCGGTTGGTTTTTACTGGTAATACCAAAAGATGGTGGTCCGGTATTATCAAACAGCGTACTGCCAGAACCAAATACGCCACTACTAACGCCACCACCACTTATTCCACCAGCACCACCACCAAACACTGGTTGAGACCCAAAACTAGGAATATCAAACGTTGGTTTAAAACTAAAACCAGTACTTTGGGTTGTTCCGCCTTTCTCAGGGATAAAACCTCCGATCGTTGAATTTTTGCTCTTGGTTTGAGTTTCCGGTTGCGGAACCTGTTTCCCAGCCGGTAAAACCGGTTTCCCAGTCGATAAAAACGGTTTTCCAGCTGAGAAAACGGGAGTATCACCGGGTTTCTTCATGGCAAATGTTCCATCGGGTTGTAGAACCATTACGGGAGCTCCCGAGGATTGAGCGGCAATTTCGCCGGGCTTCTTCATGGCATATGTTCCACCGGGTTGTAGAACCATTACGGGAGGTCCCGAGGATTGAGCGGCACTTGACGAAGACCGAACGGTGAATGTCGACGCGGTGTTCGAAGGAGGAGTTTGGGTGACATTCTTCATTTTGTTCGCAGCATCTTTGACAGCTGCGTTCGCGATCAGTCGAGCTTGGTGGTCAGCGTTCGGATCTAATGAAGGAAAAATCTCGGTTAAAGTGCCCATGTCATGATTTGTGTAATTTATTATTTGTAATCATTTGTATATTTTATGAAGAAATGCAATATATCTTGAAAAGAAAATGTTCCATCTTCACAGGATTATCAGGCCTCAAAGTTACCGGATATGACATCAAACCGGGAATTGCAAATTAGATTTCTTTTGTTTCTAGCGTATAAAATTCTCGTATCCGGTAACTTTGAGGGCTGATAATCCTATGAAGATGATATATATTCTTGTAAAGATTTATTGCATTTCTTCATAAAATGCACCAAAGATAAAAAATATTTAAAATCCAAAATCATGACATAGGCATTTTAATAGACCAATAAGAAGTCTCAACTGTGCATTCAAAAGACTTGTACTAAGCCGGCATAAAATTTCAGTTGAACCGTAACATGTAGCTTAGACTGGAGGGTTTAAATATCAAAGTATATACTCTTCCCGAATTTGCACGAGTGCACACGAAATAATAGCTTGAAATCGTGGATTACATTGTCTGCCTAGACAGTCCACTGTAAAAAAGTAGCTCTCGCTGCCAGCCAGCAAGTCTCTTACAAATTATATGATTTTCCAAGTTGGTGTTAAAATAAAGAATGTAAAAGAGCAGAGAAATACACAACAGGCAACAGAATACGCTGCTGAAACCGTTTAAGTAGGTTATTTTAATTTTAAACTCGTTTACACTATAGAGTTTTTGTCATGAAATACAATTTTGTATGAATGTTGTTGATTTTCCATTCGTCGCTATACAACAGAACACTTCATGTCTGTTTCCTTGGGAAATACTTAGTTTTGTTCCCCTCAAATCCCAATGTTTCCCCTCGAATCCTAATGTTTCCTCTCGAATCCTAATCTTTCCCCTCAAATCCCAATGTTTCCCCCGAATCCCAATGTTCCCCTCGAATCTCAATGTTTTGCTCGAGTTATTCTCGGGAAACATTGAGAATCTCGGGAAAACAAAATTAACTATTTCCTTCGGCAGCAGACATTAAGTGTATAATATTCCTGTACCTTTCCCTGAAATATTGTTGGTTCCATCTTCCGCTTTATGTTCAACCAAAGTTTTCGCAGGAATGGAAGCACCCAAGTCAAGCTTACTGGCACCACTTGACGCCCGCGCAAAAGCAGCGGCTGCAGCAGCATCTCGGGGGGAAATGCCCAAACTTCCCTTGTCATCATGACCAGCTGCTTGACCAACCTAAAAATTAAAAATATTTGTTGGAGAAAATTGGGCAAGGTTCGAATATATTATAAAATTATGAATGTCCCCAAATGTCGTCGCAATTACTTTGGCACAAAATTTTATAAAAGCTTTTAGTCAGATTTAGGCCTGTTTCAAACGTCGCGCTTCTCATGTGCCGAACGCATTAAAAATAATAGATAATCAGCTGAAATGCCTCATTATCTATTGTTTCTGATGCATTCAGTACATGAGAAGCGCAACGTTTGAAATAGGCCTTAATCATGGCCAGAAATGACGGACATGATTTATTCTACTTCCTTCGTAATTTGCATATCACGTTAAAATATGGCTTCTGCAGTAAACAGTAAATTATATTACGCGATGCTGCGTAATATTGACTTGATTTGACTATTCTGCATTTTCAGTATTTGTACAGAGGTTAGTTCGTACGGAATTTGCCTATATATCTTTATATAAGAATACCGCACTATTGCCACTAGAAACAAACGAAAATGCAGAGTAGGCAGTAACTTACACCAGGCAAACACTACACGATATATTTCAACAGACCGTGTTCTGCAGCCGGCAATCGAGGCAAATTGCAAACGACCTACCAATATTTCTGATTTTGCGATTTAAAGCATCGCGTAAATATAATTTACTGTTTACTACCGAAGCCATATTTCAACGGGTTATGTATTAATGATATGCATATTGGTAAGGAAGTAGAATAATCATGTCCGTGATTTCTAGCCATGTTCATTACATTAAAAGGTGTTTGCAAAACAATGAGTGACTGGATGGACTGGAGAACAGTGGGATTTTCAAAACAAAACAAAACCCCCATTGCGATCACTGAAGAAACTTGAAAAAAGAGTTCAACGTTCCTCGGATCCTGACTTTTCCTTTTTCAAATGTTCCTCACAAGGGCGTAAAAACAACGGAAAATTTATTTATTTACTAACTTTCCAACGTTTAAAACATTAACGAATAAATACTGTTTAAAAATATATTACAATTTAAGAATATATACATATAGATGAAGGACAAATGAGGTTAAAGGTATATAGCCAACAGGACAAGAATCCCATATTAAGACCAACGCAAAAGTTTAACGCAAAATTTTAACGGGGAAGCTTAATGCACCAGTCAAAGTAAACCCCGCCCCCCCCCCCCCCCCGGGCAAAGAGGCGATGTGGTGATTTAGTGGCTTTTTGTCATCGAACTCTATCCCAACCATGTCGGGAATTTGTTGGTTTTGTCATTCTGCCGAATTACCCCGGGAAGATAGTGGGGATTGTCGGCGGCCATTTTGTACCGTTTTGTACAATGGAATCCCCTGAACCTACCATTTTATACCATGTGACAAAGGTCAAGATGGCGTGCTCGCAATCGCAAGGAAGTGAATTCGAGAGGTATTTTATAAAAATATTCATTCCTTTTCAATCTATATTAATATGTTAATATGTCCATCCATCCATGCATGGAATCTATATTGTTGTGGAAAGCTCGACATTTGTTTGTTTATATTAATATGTTTTTATTGTTCTTTTGAGTTTTGGAACAAAATATTAATATTTTAAAATGTGGACGATTTATGCGGCGGCCCGGAGATTGTCGAGGAGATATTATGCAGGAGATAAATTCGCTCACACGACTTACAATTTCCCCCGGGGGTGGGCCATTTTTTGTCTTTTGCTAGAAAATTTTGTCCCATATTGTGGGACAATCCCCACCTATATCCCGGGGTGGGGGGAGTCGGAGTTTACTTTAACTGGTGCATAAGCACGCGACGTTTTTGTCAACACGGACGTCAGATTGCCGAGGAGGGACTGGATTGTGTCAGTTTGTGGTAATCTTCAACACATATGACAAAACTAAGATTTTTAAAGTTTTTTGCTTCCTTACACGAGCGCTATATGGGGCACTTGTCTGAGTATACTTTTCCCCCAATCGAATATGAGAAGAGTCATTCCAGTTTAAAACGGGTTCCTCTTGCGGTAACACTGGATCAATAAGAAATGGTTCTCCCATTATGAGAGGTAACCAGTAAAAGGTACATCATTTCATTTACCTCGTTGGCTGTTGATGAAGCTTGGGCTGGCTGAACAGCTTTCTCTTTAGATTTGTGGCTTGTAAAGCTCTCCTTAGGAACAGCAGTCTTAGAAGGCATTGGCTTCTTTTCAGTTAAAGCGCCAAAGGAAGAGGACGGGTTAAAACCCATAGAGAACGAGAAGCCACTCGTTCCTAAAGAAACAGAAAATAATTTTAAATGTGGGCGCTGCTGAGGTACGTACCTTTCACATTAGAAAAACTGTTCCAAATTGAGATAGCTATCCAGTATAAATAAAGTCAGGACAATGGAACAAAAAAGAATGCCACTTGCTGGACCTCAAAAAAGAAGAACAACTTAGATCTGATAAAGTACCCAGTACCAATAGATTTATCGAGTCAACAGGGATTAGCTCAACGGGTAGAGCGGCGGTCTATATACAGACTTTGTTGGCGTGCTGTAGAAAATCATAGATATGCAGTTCGGATGCGAATGCTTTATATTACTTGAAATTCAAATGCATTTGAGTAAAATCAATTAACTTCACCAAATAACTGAGAAAATCGAAGCAAAGTTTTTTCTAAATAATTCAGGGCAAAATCTGTATCCGATTTACAGACAATGATTATTCACTTCTTTTCAATTTTCCTCACGAACTGCTAAGCGAGACTGTTCAGATTAGTATAGATGTACCCTCTATACAGGGACGCCGGAACGATAATAGGGCAAAGGGGGGCGGACGCACACCAAGGGCACCTTTACTGAAAAATTTTTTTTCACTGCAAAATTTTTTGGCGACCCCCCCCCCGTCGCCAAAAAAATTTCGGTCAGTGTACCATTTCAGGGGTCAAAAATTTTTTTCCGGACATACAAAAATTTTCCGTGAAGCCAAAAATTTTTCCGGATATCTTAAATTTTCGCCATTTCTTCAAAATATTTTTCTAAATTCCAAAAATTTCCCAAAATTTTTATAAATATAAACTATAAATTACCTGAATCTCGTGATTTTCCTACAAAAAGCATCGTTGTAAATGTGATTTATCACGTATTATTTTACAACTAAAAGGGCACTTCTGCCCCCCCTAGCAAAAGGCAAGGGGGGCAGCCGCCCCCCCCCTGCCCCCCCAGTTCCGGCGTCCCTGCCTCTATAGCTTGTATTCACGTTGGACGAACATAATTAAAATGCTGAGTCTAGGAGGTCTTACTTGACAGATACTATACAGACTATGTCGTAGTCTAACTATATGCTAACCAGTATAGTTTACATTTTGGTTTAGGTTTCTTCTCTAATAATACAACACCCACTGGAGTTATTAACACCTATACAGAGAACAGCTTAGAACTGACAGAGCTAACAAGTGTGAATACTGGATAAAGATGGTTCTTAGTTATATAGAATACTGGATAAAGATGGTTCTTAGTTCTTATATAATGGGTACAATACCTACCATTTCCAAATTTCGGAGTACTGTGCACCACAGGTCTTGCTTGCTCATTAGGTGCACTTGCTTTTGACACTGGTAACTGACTTTGCTTCCCGGAATATTTCTGAGTTTCTCGACTCTTTTGCAATGGCGGCTTCTCTTCCTTTTCTGAACTCTCCTCGGCCTCCGAAGAAGTCTCAGGCTCGATTGATCCAGCTGATGAATCTTTTCTCGACCGCCAGTCTGAGACTGAAATTACACAACATGAAATACAGTGAATATAGGTCGAAACACTTCTATTTTACTAAATATGAACGAGTATATATTTGCAGAAAGTAATGTAACAAAATGAATTGTTTAGAAAAGATGAAAGGTTTAGATTAGATTGTTCCGTTCATACGAACATGAAAGCTTTTGTAACTGCTGATGATAACAATTAAGAGGAGTTTTTTTTGTATGTTACGTAACACGCGCTCAAAACTAATGCGTATAATATACCACTTGAGGTTATGACTAAATTGAAAATTTTTATTTTTCGATACGTTTCTCAATCGGCAAACAAACTTATAAAGTATGTTTAGTGCTTTATCTGTAAAATAATGCTAAAATGAAGAGATTTTAGATGATACGCCAAAGAGAAAATGACGCCTGAAGTTCAGTAAGTTTTGCTTATACGGCTGTAAATATGCATGGCGTCAATTTTAAAGAATCATTGATAATTGTATTTTAATTGACAATTTTTAACTATTATTTTATGTTTCTCAACCGCCAGATGCATTTAAAAGGGTTGTTAACTGTATAAACTAGAGAATAAAGCTAAAACAAAGTAATTTTGAGCACAGTTTGAGAGGAACGCCAAAAAGATTTTAGGTTTTGAACACTTTTCATTGCAAATACGTGACATTGAAAAAAATTGCCTCTTAAAGACAATAAACTATGGAAATCATATTTCTGAAAGTAAAATTACTTACACTGATGTATTCGAGATAAAGCATAAATTTTCTAAATTGTATTTGCCTGTACGCCATGTAATATTACCGTCTGGTACTTTTTTTCCTGCCAAGTACCACGTATACAGTATACCTATAGGTATACGCGATATTGTCGCTATCTGCGTACTTGCTTTTTGCCGGTACCATAAGACTTTTCCAAGCCCAAGGTATTCATACCGTAACTTAGTTGGTATATGTGTAAGTCTGGCATGTCTTGGCATGAAATACTTAACTGACTGGACTGGCGGGACTAAGGAATGCTGGAGCCGATTGTAATGTTTGTATATATACAGTACATACTGTACGGAACTATGCACCTTGTTCCAACTCGTAGTTTCAGCTCACTGAATGAATACCTTTCAGAAACCTGTACTTTATGTACTTCATTTCAAAGACTACAGTAAGTACATCTTGAATCTACGTTTGTACCAGCTCAATCAAGTACGTGGCAATAATCAATTCATGCAGTACCAATCAATCAAGTACGAATACAAATCTCGAATTATCGCAGCCTAAAGACACTTTTAAATATCTTTCTTTTCAAACAACCCTTAAGTAGCAATAGTCAGTAAATTCACACAAAACACCGCAAATATCTTGGAACGTTTTAACTCTTGGCGTGGTTACGAACCGTCAAAATGATGCAAATAACATAGCAGTTTGACTAACGACGGCGTATTAAGGTCGTTTTCCACTAGGCGGGATTTTCCACGCAGATCGGCGTTTCTCTTTGTCTTTCTAACGAGTTCCACCCGAGAAATCACAAGACAAAGAGAAATTCCGCTCCACGCGGAAAATTCCGCCTAGTGGAAAACGACCTTTAAAGCCCATATCCACTCAGGAAGATTTTCCACAGAAAGAAAATTTTGTAAAATGTGATTGGCTGGCACAAATTTTCTGATATTTTCGGAAAATTTCCTGTTCGTGGACATTTTTCTTGAGTGGAAACGAGCCTTTGGAATACTCAAGGGAACACAATTTATAGGCGCCATTGTCTCACGAGTAGAAATGCTATTGTTTGTGAGAACGTCTTCATCGACGTTGCTATTTCCCAAACTCACTATTCTTGCCAAACACCGCAGGTTTTCTTTAGGTATTTCGGCTTCCTCCAGTAAAAACGCTAAATAATATGGCGTGGCCTTCATTGGACCTCTAGGGACAGCAGTGTGAAATTTACAACCACATTTGGAAACAAAGTTAGCTTAAATTATCAGTCCTAATCGCTTTTTTGACTTACTGAAGGTAGTCTTTCTTACAGGTACTGTGGAACGTTTAGACAACATTTGACGTAGTTCCGACTTCTTCCTTGCAGAAACATTATCTAAAAAATACAATGATGATAATTAATCCATATTCTTACAAACGCGCAAACAGATTGCAAATTTTACTTCATCGTGTTAAAATACTGTTGAGATACGTCAGTTGCTAGTGATTGTAATGACTTTAACATACAAACAGAATTTGCCGAAAGAAATGGGTTGATATTTATAGCTAAGATCCATTTTGTTCCATTGCGAACACATAATAATAAAAGTCAACGATCTTACATACCCGTTTCTTTCGTACTTGCATTGAGTTTTTGCTTTCTTAAACGATCGGACAGTGACAAGACGTCCTCACTAAAAAATATCGCAAACATTACCAAATTACAATTAATTTTTGAAAGATAATTGTATTTATTATTAGCATGACAAAATTACTGGATGCTGATTGGTTAAGAAGAGTACAATTATTTCATTAACGATTTTCACAAATTTGGTTGAAAGTCTGGCAGGACTGGCTTTGGCGAAAGAATATGATGTTGACATTAAGAATTATCCAATTTTCTCATGCGAATTATCCAATTCTCTCGAGTAACCATGCGATAATTACCTATACGAGTATACGTATCGTTCATTATAATAAAGGATAAAAACAAAAAATCATGACCGCGAAGGAGCTTGTATATTTGATACACAATCCCAATGACAACAATTTTAAATTCCACCAAATGCGAACATTATTGAAAAGTGCGAAGATCGATTCGTGTTGCACAACTTATACAACAGGAATTGTGTGAGATAAATAAGTTTTTAATATCGCCCAATCACCATTGGAACATACTGTACAAACAAAATTTAGGTTATTGGACATCTCAGAAATCGTTTCCACGCAGATAATCTATGGAGAATATCTACCTTTCAGACACTGAATCTTCTTTCCGATCCCAACGGTTAGTTCTAATACTTCCATTGTTCACCCTTCTTGATATTGCTTCGAGTTGCAAGGACTGGAAAAGCGAGCGTTAAAATATTTATTAGTAACAACAACAACGACAGCGGCACCGGCACCCACAACAACATCAACATCAACATCAACATCAACATCAACATCAACATCAACAACAAACATCAACAACAAACATCAACAACAAACATCAACAACAACAACAACAACAACAACAACAACAACAACAACAACAACAACAACAACAACAACAACAACAACAACAACAACAACAACAACAACA